ACACGCGCGGAAGCGACACGGAACAAGTGGCGGCGTAGCACGCATCTCACGCCTCTGTCCCAACTTTCACATTTTAGCCAAATAGTTTTTTCGCTCAACGCGGAAATTTTCGGGAACGCATCTGATTGCGTTAGACGAGGAATTGGTTCCGAAAGCTGGACCGTGACGTCGCTACCGCGACGTCACATTCCGCGTTTGTGTACTCGCCACAGCGGGTCGCGGGACATCGCTTGACGCCACTATCGTTGGCGTGAAGCCATTTATCTCTATTTATTTATGTTGAGCGACTTGCTTACCTATCCTCTATCATGCGCTCCTCGTATTGTCGTTGGCATTGCTTTGCCGATGTTAACTCGCTGAACCCGCCCCTGCTGAACATCCGTGAAAAAGAGCTTCGCAGCTCATTGGATTCTTCCAGGGCGAGTGAAGATTTTGATTCTGATTTTACATTGGCGTATAATGGAAGTGATGCGGGAATCTGATTTTATTATTATTTTTTCTCAGCTGCCAACATATGTAGCGTGCGGTGTGATTATCACGGCAGACGTATACTGTGCAAACTGTCTAGAAAATAGAACCGCAATTTCTGCTTGCAGCTATTGACTTTGAGTCTGCGTTCTTTAGTTGGGGTGGGGGGGGGGGGTTATCTATCGTTGCAGCCGTTGGAGCTCGGATGTTGGCTTTGTAAGAGCTGCTTGTTGGAGATCAAGCAGGCGCGATTGACTAAACTAAACCTTGTCATTTTACCAGGTATGGCCCACTGAGCTACACAGCTCTTTCTCAGAAGCGACACGGCTATCACAAATGATAGGTCAACGAAGTGGCTTGTCACGTGGACATTCATAACAGCGGCCAATTACCCGAAACGCGTATTGATTCTAAATGTGGAGGAAAAAAACCAGAGGACCCGGTGAAAAAAATCCACGTGATCACGGGAAGAGAGACATGTAAACTCCAAATATACAGCAGGCGTCGGGGTCGGGATCGAACCCACGACCAGGCGAGGGAGTTAACATCTGATAATTCACTGTGCTGTCGAAACCAGTCCAGAATTTACTGGTATTGAGTCACTGCAGTCACTGCTGCTGAGAGTGCACACTCCCATAAGGCTTTGGGGGACCATTGGGCTGTGTAAACAATACTTTTTAAAAAAATATTTCCATTTGTATGTCTTTCCATTTCTATGTCTGTGGAGGGACAGATCTGTGAAAGAGCCGTATTAGTATGGCTCTCCATTGTGTGTTATATTCTCCACAATGACACTAATGATTATTGTGTGTTATGTAGGAGGTTGTGGGTAGGTGAGCCTTTGCGGTGGGGGTGGTGGTAGGAGTGGACATCACAGTTCAACAGCAGTAAGTGTAACTGGCAGGGTAGTAAGGAGGGGGTGAATGTGTGTGTATGTGTATATGCGTGTTCGTGTATAAGCACACGTGCACACAAACAAAAGACAAAGATCCCCCGTGTAGCCTTAACAGACTTTTTGGGGGTAAGTGCTGTTAGCGAGCACCTATGAATGCCGGCACGGCACACTTGGCCGCCTTTGTTACTCCAGTGGCGATGTTTACACACCGCACCAGGTTACTCATTTGAGGCTGATTCGACCGAGCGGAGGCCCAATACCGGTTCAGATGACCGTCACCGTTGTTGGCCGTGAGCGCGAATCGGATTGCCAGCTTCGTAAGCGCAGCGCGCTAACCACCGCGTCACCGCTCCCCGTGCAAACGCGCACGCGCGTGTACGCGCACGCGCACGCGCGCGCGCCCATACAAAGCCAGATGGCGGCTGCGGCTGGAAAAGCTCGCTGGAAATTTCAGACATCTATGTGGCCTTCACCGCGAACGACATGCGAGCATTATATCCCGCAAAATAAAATGGGCTGCCAAAACCGTTGACTTCACTTCCGGGTTCCAGTCGCCCCCCCCCCCCCCCACCGCAGTTCTCGATTGCATCGTGGGGCTTGGCCCGTTGTTGTAATCTCACCGCTTAATTGTGTCGAGGTATCCTCACCCAAAACAGGGCCCTCGCTGAGTTCGAAGACTCCTTTTCAATTTGTCTCCAAAGTGAGGGTGGCGGGGGTGGCCCAACGAGGTTAAATTCTTTCTTTGGTGCCAGATATCTCGTGCCTGTAGTTTTATAGCAGCTATTCCAGCGCTGGGTTTGTTTTGCCAATTTTATTTAAATTTTTTGGTTGGAGTTGCGTTTATAATTTGTGTTCTTACAACCTGGCACACCTATTCGGTTTTCCTTTTGATATTTAAGACTGCGATTTGAATGGTTGCGTCGTTTTTACAACAACATCCTCTGCAGTACAGTATTTTTCCCTACACAGGCTCGAGAAAAGGAATTCGACCTTATAAAATGTCGACAGCAGTCCTATTGAATGGCAAGGTGGATTTCCCACCATGTTTGGGAGGCCATTCACAGAGATGAGCATCACCACGTGGTCATTTGGGGCAGTGTTAACCTTTGGGATTTTGGATGGACAAGATATGGCCGATGGTTAAGATTAGTAATGGATTGGCAGCTAAAGGAGGGATCACATCTGAAGGATGACCGCCCCCCCGCACGCCCCTCCCTCCTGAGATGAGGCAGTGAGATCAGCTCTTGCGCAAGAGCACGATGCATTGTTGCGTCGCCGTGGCAATGACTCGGGAGAGGCCCTTCAACCCAGCAGTGGATAGACCTTGGCTGTTGACGGTTACGATGAACACCAGCGCGCGTTAATCGCCGTCGGTTGGTTCCTGACGCCGAGGGGGAATCTCGCCGGTACTGGTGCGGTGGCGCACGAGATGAAAGCCGTGCTCTGTCTCTCTTTGTGCGCTCCCCCTCGGAGAGGCCTGAGCCTGGACTCTAACAAACAAACAAAGGCTCGCCGTGTGGCGGACTAGGCTGCGGCGACCGCTCTCTGCTGCCGGCAAGATGGATGAGAGGTTAATCCACGCGGCTCTGCCCAGCGAGCGCCCAGGCTTCTCACCCTGGCGCGCGTGGGGCTCTGGAAAGCCTTAGGAGGGTGACGGACGTTTGTTTATTGGCGCGCTCTCTCTCACCCATGGCCTTGCCGCTGGCCTCCCCTCAATTTTCCTTCGTGCGTCTCGCTCTCCCTCTCGCTTGCACGTTCTCCTCCTCCCACACCGCCGCCGTGTGAGACGTGGGTTCTGTCTGACGGCCACTCGCGGCCTCGCTCGCTCACTCGCCGGTTAGCTCGGTTGGCTACGTACGGTGCGAAAGAAGTTCAGCATACACACATAGCGCGGTTGGTTACGTACGGTGTGAAAAAAGTTCAACACACATAGCACGGTTGACTATGAACGGTGCGAAATAAGTTTTACATACATACGTACATGCATAGAACGGCCACGGCAGAGACGGAGCGATGAAGTTCGCTCGTGTGCAGTTGCCTCAATGGATCGATGCATTAATGCATTGTGAGACCTGAGAGATGGTGATGGCTTGGGGAGGCCTTCATCCAGCAGTGGATGGATCATGGCTGCTGCTGATTACGACGACGACAATGATGAAGTGGAATAACCAATTTATCTTTTGGTTGATAGTAAACCGATGGGATGCTCTGTATGTATGTATGTTGAACTTATTTCGCACCATACGTAGTCGCCCCCAACACCGTCCCATCACGTCCACTCTACTTCCCCCCGTGTAAAACTATAAATTATTTTTATTTTACCAGGTAAGGCTCTCACTGAGCTACATAGCTCTATTTCAGAAGCATCCTGGCCACAATGATAGCTCAACGAAGTGGCTTATCAATGTGGAAATGTATTGCAGCCAAATCCTCTAAACACACGTTGATTCTGAACATGGAGGGAAAATCCGGAGGACCCGGAGAAAAATCCACGCAACCACGGGGAGAGAGAGACACGCAAACTCCAAATGTACAGGTATCAGGGTCGGGATGGAACCTACGACCTCCTGTATGAAAGGCGAGGCAGATAACATCTCGCCACCGTGTCCACGTTCCACGCATTACAGTCTCCATCTCTCTGCCATCTACGTGCAGTCCTCTCCCAATCTTCCACCCACTGCTGAATCTCAGTGGATTGTAAAGACCCTGTGACTTCATTCACAAGAAGAGGACATTCGATGTACTCTTGCATGTCAACCCGAATCCCAAATGTTAACGTTATTGACTGTGCCCAGTTAGACCTACATAAGGACATCATCTTTCGTCATCATCATCATCGCCATCACCATCATAAGGTTTTGGCTTTCATCCAAATTTTGGAACTAATTTTCACCTCCCTTTGTTTCTTGTCGTGCGTCCATAAAATGAATTGTTGGTCTCGTGTGGAAAGAAACATCAACAGCGGAGGAATCTCCTGAAAATGAATTTTGACGTTCAACGTGGATTTTCTGGTTAAAGGCCACTACCAATGATATAGTAACAGTGGTTGCTGCAATTGGAAGATTTGTTTGTAACGTACAGTTGCTGTCGTGTGAGTAGAGGCAGTGGATTGAAGTTGATGGCACATAATGCTCTGACCTAAGTAACTTTTGCCGTACTTGCAGTGCAGTAGATTCTCATGTTGTCTGCCACGTGCATCACTCTCTGTCTTGCTCTGTCTCTCCCTGTCCTCCCCTTGTCTCTTTCTCACTCTCATTTTGTCTCTTCTCTTCTCCCCTTAATTGTCATTCATGCCCTCATTGCCTTTTTGTCTGTCTCACCATATCCCTCCTCTGCCCGTCGATCTTCCTGTCTGTGTACTCGTTTGTGTGCTTGCTTCCTTTCCTCACGTCTGTCTGCTTGTGCCCGCCTGGTGTCTGTCATCTGCCTGCCTGCCATCTTCACGTTGGTGGTTTTCCCTCTCTCCGTCTCCCCCCATTCACCCCTCATCCTCCCTCACTCACGTTTTTACCCTCTGATCCTTATGCCTTTGCTTCCCCACCCCCGTCTCGCCCTTTCCCTCCGTCCCACACCCCTCCTCTCCCTCCCACGCCCCCCTCCTCTCTCTGCCGTGCACCTTCCCCCCCCCCCCGCTCAGTGACGGTGGCACGAAGGCCCTGTGGGAGGCCATGCTCTACAGCAAGCAGAAGGAGGCCGTCATGGAGGTGCGACGGCAGGTCGTGGAGCGGGCAGGCCAGGCCGGCCTCGTGCTCAAAATGGCCATGGGTAAGACCTGGGCCTTAGTGCGGACCCGGGTGCACTCGTACGCGCCCCTCGATGATGCTCGTCGCCACGGTGGCGAGATGTCGGTTACCTCGCCTGGTGTACAGGAGGTCGTGGGTTCGATCCCGACCCTGACTCCTGCTGTATATTTGCAATTTGCGGCGTCTTTCTCCCCTTTGGTCACGTGGATTTTTCTCCGGGGCCTCCGGGTTTTCCCCTGCACAATTAGAAACACGCGTTTCGCGTATTTGGCTGCTGTACATTCCCACGTGATAAGCCACTTGGTTGAGCATCCATTTGAAAAAGGGCTCAGTGGGCCTTACCTGGTAAAATAAAAAATTGCTTTAGTTGATAGTTTAGTTTATTGGCCTATGTCCAGACGTCAAAGGGATTTGAAGCCAGTGATTTCCGGTGCTCGCCGTGAGTGGAAACTCCACATTTTCATGGGAAGCATCTCCATAGGGCCACCGCCGTCGTTTCCTCCGCCAGTGCCACGACCGAGCGGGAAACCGGAGTGCCCAGAGAAAACCCGCGCACACGAGGGACCAGCGTTCCCTTCACCGATTCACGAATCCCGCCGTCTCCCCAACCCCCTCGTAGTCCACGCCTGCGCACAGCACCGGGTGTTCTGTGGCGGCCTCCCGTACTAGGACTAGCCAGGCCTCTTAACCCTGCTTAGTTTCTACGATCCGACGAAATCTGGTGCATTAGCAGCCTTTCCCCCCCCCCCCCCCCCCCAACATTGTTGAGCCGAGATCTTTGATTCGCCACTTCACCTCGGGCCCGGCGAGCGAACGAACAACAACAAACACATGTGCGTGGCACTCGAGCGTGTGTCACCACGGTGCTGAAGGGTTTTAATTGTCCTTGAAGCATCTGGGGGGGATGGAGGGTTTACGCCGCAGCTTTAACACTCGAGTGCCAAACGCCTTCACGGGCGACCCATCCCCCACCCGGGGCCCAGCAGATGGTGCTCGCCGAAGTTGTCTGTTGCGGTGCCCTAGCGCCCTCTGCTGCCCACGCAGCGCCCCTCGCTCCCTCGCCCCCTCGAGAGCCACTCGCAAGTGCCCGCGGCCGCTCGCGTTGAACTGCGTGCGCCTGTTGCTCCGTAGGGGGGGAGTGGTGACGCAGTGGTTGGCGCGCTGCGCACTGCGAACCCCCGGCCATCGTTGGCGACCGAACTAATCCTTGGCCTCCCCTACATCGACTCGGCCGTAAATGAGTACCCGACCTTAATAGGTGCTTGCACCTGAAGCATGCGCGTGCATGTGTTCTTGTGCGCGTGTGTGCATGGATACGTAAGTACGTGTGTGTATGCATGCATGCGTACATACACGTGTGTGTGCATGCGTTCATGCGTATGTACGTGTGTGTCTGTGTGTGTGCGTATGTACATGCACGTGTGTGTGTGCACGCATGTGTATGTATATGTGGATGTGCGTACGTATGTACGTGTGTGTGTGTGCGCACGGATGCGTATGTGTGTGTGTATGTGGAGAGCGGCAGTGTCGCGGTCAGCGCGCTGCGCTACAAACCTAGCAACCAGAGTTCGATTCCGGCTCACGGCCAACACCAGTGACGATTATCTGAACTGGTCCTGGGCCTCCCATAGGTCGACTCGGCCTCAAATGAGTACCTGGCGCGGTGTGTAAACATCTCCACTGGGGGGGGACAAAGGCGCGCCGGGCGCGATGCTGGCCACCCACCCCCCACGTGTGCCGTGCGGGCTTTCGTAGGCGCTCGCTAACAGCACTTGCCCCCTACAGTCTGTTGAGGCTACACGGGGGGGGGATCTTTGTCTTTTTACGTGCGTGTTCGCCCTTGTGTCCACACGCAGGCAAGGTGACGGGCGAGCAGCTGGAGTCGTACGCGCGCGCGTTCCCCCGCGGCGACACGGGGGGCCACGCGGCGCTGCTGCAGCTCGTGCTGGCCACGGCGCAGACCCTGGAGCACCCGGCGGGCGCTCGCAGGGATGCGCTGCTCGCCTCCGAGAGGCTGCTGCTGCAGGCGAGTCACCCTTTCGCTTCGCCCGATCGCCCCCCACGTCGCCCGTCACAACCCGCCCGTGCGGTCGAAACCCTTCGCTCTACGCACGATAGCGGTGACGGCGATGTCGTTAAGCGTGGCCCTTAGTTGTTTTCATGCAAACTGCATCGCAAGACGCAGGCGCAATCCACAAACGCGGAGTTGCGTTCGGGTGTTTTCAGCGAATCAATCGGTGTTCGTGCGCACGGCAGGAAGTTGCAGGAAACCCCACGTGTGCGAGGGGGCAACACCATATCCCTGTACAGACGGGGACGGATGATGTTTAGTCCCCACTTTGAATGTACCATGTTCTGCTGGTGAACTGTGGGGTATGGCCTACTCCTCGACGCCCACGGGAAGGGAGTTTCACACAACACCTGTGCGGCGATGTGCAAACCAGCGCTGTGGACCTGTGGATCCAGAGCGCTGGACCACAGGCAGGCCCACGTGTGACAAGAAATCGATCTGTGGTATTTGTGCGAGCATTGTCATTGGCAGCGTCACGCTGCCACGGGCGTGCGTGTGTGTGGGGGGGGAGGGGGTCTGGTGGCTGGGTTAACGAGGACGCGTGGCGTACTGTGGTATTTGAACCCTTGCCCTGAGCGGTCGCAGCTCACTGCCCTGATGATGCGGTAATTATGAATCCTTGAGTCACTTGAGAAGAAATCTCTTGCAGTGGTAACGTGAAGCAGTGCTTACTTTGATCGAGTTACTCATCGCGTTTTGGCCTTTAAGCTAAACAACAACAACACTGTACGTGTTTTTCCCAGATTCCATTTTGTGTTGGCAGTGCGGTTCATATATTTTGTGGTCAGTTTCACAGAAATGGAATTGCAGCAAGGGACACAAAGCCCGATTTAATAACACGATCAGAGGGTAAAAAACACGTAACTGTTACACGGCCGGTTGGTGCCACACCCACGGAGGATGGGGCGGTGGAACGTTTAGCCCCCGCTCGCGATTTGACAAAATTTGTCGCCGAAAATTCGGTGAAAGAGATCGACGGCTTGTGAGCGCTCCGATTCACCCCGGCAAAATATCGCGCCGCGCTCGCCCCTGACGCTTGGCTTTCACGTGCCGCTCGTAGCTCAAGCGACGTGAGGGTCTCTCTTCGACCCTCGCGTCGTTCTATCTTGCTCTCGTTGTCCTTACCTGTTTTATTCCTTCTTGTTTTGTGCAAGGTTTTCAAGATGTAACTCCCCCCACCCCCCTCTCTCTCCAGAAGGCTCGCGGAGTTTATCCCCGTCCCGTTTGCGAGCGTGCCTCTGCGTGCACTTGGCCGTGCGATTTCCGCTGCTGCTCCCCCGTGCGCATTCAGCACAAATTGAACTCTCCTCATTTTTATTTATTTTTCTTCTTTTGTTGCCGTTCTTTACAGCAGATATTTCATTCCATCTTATTTTTCCACCTTTCGCCGACCAGTTTTTTCGCCACCCATCGCTCGCTCGCTCGCCTACGCTCTCGCTTTGTTCACCAACCCAAATTGCTCATTCGCTGAATCGCTCGCTCGCTCGCTCGCTCGCTCGCTCGCTCACCCATTCATTTGCTCGCTCACTCTTGGCACTCGCTTGCTCATTGTTCGCTCGTTCACTTCCACTTGGCGTCTCGTTCACGAGCACTCGCTCGCTCGCTGTCCCCGTGTCTGTCTAAGGGTCTCGAGTATTGTCCTGTGTCTTTCCCACTGCCGTATGTAAACTGTGACAACTTTATGGCTGTTGTCCGTGTGGGGTCAAGGATTAATATCGACGTCCGGGCTTAACATTTTTGTTGTCCTTCCCCCCGCTCCTCTGATTTGCACGGATGGCTGCGTACGGTGCGAAATAAGTTCTACATACGTACAAATGAAACCCTGAATTCCATAGCGGTCGATAAAAAAATAAGCACCGCTTCACGGGAAGTCAGCAGTGGTTGCACCCTCCCGGCCATGGGAATGTGGAGTTTCCACTGCTGTCTCGTGGCCACCTATGGAGACGAAGACAATCACACGCCCGCTTCATCACGCAGACACTTTGACTGTTGATTGTGTTTATCGGTTCTCTTATCTCTGCGTCCTCCTCCGCGGCTCGCAGTCTCTGCGTGTACCAATCTGTTGACCCTCACCCCCCTCTGTCTCTGTGACTCCACGTCTTCCTGTCCCCCTATCTGTCTTTCAGACGAGCTGTTGCGGTCTCTCAGCTTCTCCCTTGCCCGCTCTGTTTATCTTGTCTCGCTCTCCTCCCTCCCTCTCTCTCTCGCTATTCAAACCCAGCCAGCCTCCTTCCTTCTTGAGCCCCTCCTCACCTCCTTCACTGGGAGCCGTTAGGGCAGTGCGCGCCACCTCCAGTCAATACCCCCCAACTTTACCAGCGCCACCACCACCGATCCCTCCTCTGCTCTCGGTTTTCCCACAATAACCCTCCAGCTCACCTCCAAAACCCCAAGACCCTCTCCTCCCCCTACACCCATCCCCCTACACCCTCCCCCCTACACCCTCCCCCCTACACCCTCCCCCCTACACCCTCCCCCCTACACCCTCCATCCACCACCATCCACCCCCCCCCAAATAAAACAACACATGGCCCCCCTCCCCTTCTCCCATCAAAACCAACTTGGCAGACCCGCGCGCGCCCTTCTTTGCCCCGCCCCATCCCCCCCTAGCGAGCTCCGCCCACTCGGGGTCTCTCCTCATTTGCATACATTTTCTTGTCTCCACCCACACCCTCGCTCCTCCCCTCGCACCCGCAGAGGCCCCTCCTACACACCCCTCCGGGCCCCGCCCACTACCGCACTGTGCCCCGCCCACACCCCCGCCATGCCCCGCCCACACCCCCCCCCCGCCATGCCCCGCCCACACCCCCGTCATGCCCCGCCTACACCCGCAACTTGCCCCGCCCACACCCGCAACGTGCCCCGCCCACACCCCCGAGGAGATGGAGGGATCCGCCCACTAATCCATCTCCGTCCCTTTTTTTTAATACCACCGGGACCTGTGTGTGTGTCGGTGTCTGTCTGCGTGGTTTTTAATAAGGGGAGCGGTAGTGTAGCGTTCTGGTTAGCGCACGGCACAACGCACCCGGCGACCAGAGTTCGATTCCCGCTCACAGCCAACACCAGTAACGATGATATTAACTGGTCCTGGACCTCCCCTAGGTCGACTCAGCCTCAAATGAGTACCTGGTGCGGTGTGTAAACATCGCCACTCGGGAGACAAAGGCGGCCGGGCGTGGTGCTGGCCACCCACCCCCTCGTGTGCCGTGCCGCCCTTCATAGGTGCTCGCTAACAGCACTTGCCCCTACAGTCTGTTAAGGCGACACGGGGGATCTTTGTCCTTTAACGCCACCCGGCCATGTGTGTATGTGTTTTGCGTGTGTGCGTCGGAGCTGAGAAGAGAGGAGGTCTCTTACTGAGAAGAGTTGGTCGCAGCTGGGCGTGCTTTGGGCATAGGAAATGCCTGGGCTGCCTTGATTGGCAGCTGGCCCCATTGCTGTGTGGGGCTGCTTGCTAATGCTGCTGCTGCTGCTGCTGGTGGTAGTGTTGGTGGTGGAGGTTGGTAAAGGGATGGGGAAGCGGGGGAAGAGGCTTTTGGGAATTGGCCGAGCGGGCCAGGCACAAGATGGTATACGTCTCAAGCCGGCGGTGAACGCATAATGCGGAGGTGCTGACGTGCGGAACCCCACAACAGCGCTAACTGAGGCGCGTGTCCAAGTTGCCACTTGTAAAATGTTTTACCTTGGGACCGGTTAACGTGATCTCTATTCCCTCCCCTCCCCCCCCCCCCCCCAAATCCCTCCGGCATCCCAGGATGAGAGGGCTCTTAATTCGCCGTGGAGAATCTGCACGCTCATCACAGCCCCGCTCGTGTACACATGTATGTCTTCTTTACGTCTGATGACAAGGCCAGGCCGTGCGGGCTGGTGTGCGGGCGGGTGGACGTGCGGGTGGGCAGGCGGGTGGGCGGGTGGCCGAGCGGCCGGGCGGCCGGGGCCCCGATGTCCTCCGTGTTTCAGAAGCGCTGCTGAGTCAGCAGCGAGGTTGAGGGCCTCTTTTTGAATGATGATGATGCACCCCCTAGAGAACAGGATTATATATCGAAGTAGAACTCCGTTCTTTGCCTCCACATATAAATAAAGTAAAAAAATGGTTTAACCGGCGCGTTAGCTTGGTTGCAGAGTCACGCCATTATTTGTTTCTCAGTGTCGGGGTCATAGGTCAGAGGTCAAATTAGCCCTCAAGTCTAACTCTGCTGATGACATCCAGAAGATGGAAACCGGTCCTGAGTTTGCTTGTTTAAACGCATGCTGCTGTATGATATTCGTCTGCAAAATCTACAGGCTGATGGACTCAAAATATATATTTGAGATTTGACCCGTTTTCTCAAATGCAGGGGAGTTGATTGGCTCAGGCGGGTCAGCAGCAACTAAAAGACCAAAAAAACCCACGCAAGTAAAAAAAGTCAAAGTGCCTCCCTCCTCAAACGAGGTGGTTGCTCATCGCCATTCGCTGCCCTTAGCCTGTGATGGAAATTCCACATTCCTATGGTGGGACTGAATCTCCTCCATGAGGTGACCTTTGTTGCTCATTGTTGTTTACGAAACATGAGAAGTAGCTCTACGATGTCATCTTCCGCGCTCGTGGCTCAATCGGAATGTAATCGGAGAATTGTTTTTTTTAATTAAAAGAATGTATACAACGTTCATAAACATAACATTACCGCCGTAACCGCGATGCTTAGATCGCAGTCATCATTTGAGACACCGTGGGTCGTGCTTCGTAAACCTACGGGCAAACTCACGGCGATAGCTATCACCGTGAGTCTTTTGTAACCCACGTTGCTTTTAGGCGACGTAAATATTTTTGTTGGTGCGTGTAAACAGAAAACTGGCTCGCGCAGATGGGAAACGTTGCCTTTGCTTACGCGACCCCCCCCCCCCCCCCCCCCGGAATGTTTCATGTGTCCTCTCTTAATTTATCTTGTGTCGTGAGGACATAAAGTATGGCACTT